AAAAAAAAAAAAAAAAAAAAATATGCAACCCAGGAGCTTCCACTTCCCATGCAAGTGAATTCTGTGATGAGAGGTTCAGGGGTCAGAAGTGAGATCAATTTCATTTTCCAGCTTGCTGAGGTGGGAATTTAAAGCTAGTCGCTGAAGGAGGCTGAAACAGATAGGCATAAAGCTTTTGTATTAATGCACCACTTTGGAGGCTCCAACTCCGTGCAATAATACAAACACATGCAAAACTGACATCCTAGGCGTGAGATAGATGTGTGAATAGAGACAGAGGGAGTGCAAAGAAGCAACAATCGATATTTGAATAGTTACCTAGTTGTCATCAAGTGCTTCAGTACATCCCAGGAAAGATCAATTCACAGCAGGGCTACAGACAGACATTTTGAGAGTCCCAGGAGAGAAGCTAAGGAATGAATCCCTCCGTCTGCATGCTTGTACACTGTGGACATCATTATACGTGCTACGGGGTGAGGGGTCACTCTAATTAAAGTGCTCACAGCATCATGTGTATTCAGCATTCAGCACCCCAAAATGACGATGAGAGCACTTTAACTAAAGTTTGTTTTACACACTTTAGTTAAAGCACCCCCCACAGTCATTTTTAAGTACAGGGATGATGAATACACATGACGCACAGGCTGCTGGAGTGTGCTAATTAGTGTGCTCCAGCAGACTTGATTGAGCACACTCAATTAATCATGCTAATTAGCATGTGTCAGAGCAGGCGACATCTGCCAAGTATATAGATGACTTGCAGCGCTACTGTCCTGGTCTAGTGGCTGCTCTACTACAGAAGCTGGGGCCTTAAGCAATTACTCTGCTTCTGATTGTAAGTGGGGATTGCAGAGGACAAGGAGAAAAACTTTGGAGATTTTTACAGGGGGGCTCTTTCCCAGCATGAGGGACAGGACAGTGAAGGCTGGCAGTGAATCTCTCAAGTGTATTTTAACAACTTCTTCAGCAGCAGGACAGTGGCCACGGTTTTCTCCTTGCTCTACCTGTGGCACGTTAGGCTGTTATGTCTTGTGGTTGTGTCAGGGTTGACTCTGTAGTTTTGGTTAGACAATGGATCTGTACAGGTTGATTTGGATAGGGATGATCCTGCCTCAGTTGGATTAAATGATCTCTGGAGGTCCCTTCCAGCCTTGCTTTTCTATGATTGTAGGTTTGCTAGCAAAGCTGAGATAGGTGTAACTTCTCAAAAACAAAAGAGAGGACAGGCAGAGTAAAAGGAAGGGCCTTCAGGGTCCTTGGAAGTGAAGACAAATCAGGTAGACAAGGTTCTTTGAGTAAATGTGATATCTTTTATTAGACCAACTAAACAGCTGGAAAAATTGTTCTTTGCAAGCTTTCAGGTACAAACACCCTTTTGTACCCAAAAGCTTGCAAAGAACAAATTTTCCAAATATTTAGTTGGTCTAATAAAAGACATCGTGTCTACCCAAAGAACCTTGTCTGCCTACGTCCTTAGAAACAACACGGCTACAACCAATACCCCCAAGACAAACCAGAGCTGTTTGATGTGGTAAAAAAGGGAGAAGCCATGGAGCCCAGTCAAAATCACCACAATTATGTTAGCTTTAAATGAATATAAGTGGCATGAGAAGTGGGTGGCCAGTGCCAAAGAGGGGAAAGTTGTGCTAACCATGTGAAATGAAGATGAGTTTTATGTGGGTGGATGGAAGATAAAGGCTGCATCTTTAAAAGTATTCTACAGAAAGAACTGGGAAGATTTAGATATAATCATAGCATAAGGATGTAGAGAGAGGGTTAAAGAGAACAGACTGGTTGAACAGCCTGAGTGAAAGGGAGGACACCAGTGCAGATGTAGTGAGTGAAAAATACGGAGAGAGAGGACTTGTGAGGGGAAAAAAGACATTGGTGGCCAAATCCTATTTCACCTCTATGTACGTAAGTGATGTTTACATGACTTGGCCATTTTGGATGTGATTCTTGGCACTCATACATGTTTTTTAAAATTTAATTTCCTCCTGTGGAACATGATCACCCAGATGTGTGTGTAGCTGCCTGATATAAAGTGGAGGAGGATAAGGTCCCTCCTACCTTTTAGCTCAATAATTATATATTTAAAAATAAAAGTGCCTATGCAAGGTCTTGGTGCCTTAACATACATCAGCAATACAATACGTCAGCTGCATTCAAATGTTCAATTCAGCAGGAGCTTTGCCCACCATTGGAGCTCCTTTCCAACCCTCCATCATCTAGGCAGCATAGTCTCAGCCATCCCCCGGACATTCCTCAAAAGGACACCTTTTACAGTGCGTCCAGCTAATTTCAGATTAAATGGGAGAGCGAGGTCCAGTGCCCTCTCAGGGATCACCTTGACAGAGACCATCTCAACCAGCTGCCCCTCTCTGTTAGGAAAAGAAGCTCTAACTTGTGCTCCTTGCTTGACCACAGCTGCAAGCAGCAAGGCAGAGGCAGGGCTTCAAGGACAGCACTCCCAGGCCATGTAGGATGTTATAATTCACAACTGGGGACACAGGATATGAGGCACTGGGCTTAAACTACAGAAAAGCAGCTTTAAAGCAAATCCAAAGAAAAATGTCTGAACTGTAAGAACAGCAGGATGATTAACAAGCTGCCCAAGGAAGCTGTGCGTTCTCATTTGCTGGAAGCTTTCCAAACGAGGCTGAAAGGTCATCTGTCTGGGCCAGTTTACCAACAGTGACATTTGCACCTCTGCAGGAGGGTGGACTGAATGATTCATGAGGTCCACGCGGAGTGAATATACTCTCAACTGGAGACCAAGGGGCAGCACGCTGACTACGTACCGTTACAGCATAATGCCCCAAGTCTGAAAGCCAGGTGCTGGTCTCTGGACCAGCGTCAGACCCTGAAGGGATGTGAAGGGTGCAACTATAATCCAACGTCAGCCAGGGTACTGTGAGATCCTGTCAAGGGTGCCAAGGAACATTAGCCCTGGGAGGTGTGCAAACACATTTCACTAGGTGAATGGGGGGCGGACCGACCATAGTGGGGCCAGTACTGCAACAGGCCTGCACAGCACCAGGGATGGTGCAAAGTTGCTCTGGACTGGTAACAGAAGGGAAGGCACCTGTCCACTGAGCTGGGGACGATCCTCCCTGTTCTCCAGCTGCCTCCCTCATGCCCGCCGGGACCACGTGCACGCGTGGAGCACTGCTGGGTGGAGAGCAGGGCACTGCGGATTACAACTCCCAACATCCCCCCGCCTCCTCCACCGTGGGCAGGGTGACGCGAGGGGGGGAAGGGGAATCCCATGACAGGGAAGCAGCGCCTGACGGTCTCGTGACCCGCCCCCGCCAGGCGAGGGCAAGTTGAGTCAACGGCCTTCCTCTGCCATTGAGCACAGAGGAGCCTGCGGGAGGGGGGCGCGGCGCCCCCCGCGCTTCTCCATGGCTATTGGGTGA